GACATTAATATTTTTCATACCTGATAACTGATAAATCAGAAAAATCTGCGGCTCACCAATGTTTGATTCTACAATAAAGAAGTCCAGCCAAGCATTGTGATTCATGAATTATGTGAGGCTCAGACTGGATTTGAACATTTACATATTCATTACTACACTGTTACATTGCTAAATGCAGTTGACACAGCATTATTTTTTGGATGTAGCTCCCATCCTACATTACAAGGAAAGGCATTGACCTTCTGTTGCTAATGGGGCTATGTTTTTGTGAGTCTAGTTGGCGATGTAAAGCACCATAGCTTAATTAGAAAAAGGCAACGAATGCCAACTTGAACATAGCCATATTACAGCCATGGACATGCCTTGTCACCCAGCGACATTTGGGTCTTGAAAGCTAAAAACTTAGAATCAGTGTCTCTCTATGGTTCTTTTTGTATTAGTAATTCGTAGCTATATGAAATTGTGAATATAATTATATAAATGTTAACATTATCCATAACATCCAAACAAATTGTAATCAAGATGTAATTGTACTATATCAAAAAGGCACCAACTACCCTCACCCAGATCTCCTATGAAAGTGAAGTTTCCCTCCTATGGTCATATGTAATCACCATCAGTGCCAAAAAAACAATAAAAAGAGTAGTATTCGCTACAAAAATATACAAATAATTCCACCAATATTAATAACATAAACGTCTCTGAATAAACGTGCTCCTCTTCAGTGCTCCTTAAATAAATAGATCGGCACAATTGAAAACAGCCTAGGAAAAATTGTGGTCCCTCCCTGGATCTGCATGTAAAAGCGGATATGGCGACACTCAAGGGCCTCAACTAGTTTCTTTCATCACATCTTCCTGAAGGCACGATGAGGCCCTTAAGTTTCATCATATCCGGTTCCGGTGTCGTCAGGTCTGGTTTTCATCTTTTGGTCAGTGGAACGCACGCAGATCCCGGGAGGGACCGCGATCTATCCTAGGCTGTTTTCAATTGTGTCGATCGTGGACACAATCTTTGTGAGTGCAATATATTTTATTTATACAGTATATCTTTTATTTGAAATAAAAATACTACACTATAGTCATCTTTCTCTGGTTTGGTGGTATGAATATTATCTTCTAATGGCGCTGCAAATTTTGTACGTCCAGTAATAACTGTGTAAATATTTATCAATACTTTATTCTTAATAAAAATAGATTAAAATCATCAAAAGGTACACAACCTTGGAAACTCTTACTTAGACTTCAGTCACACTGAATCCGACTTTGAAATCGTGCGACTTCACTTGAAGTTGCATGATTTCAAAGTCGGATGTCGGTGTGACTTCAGGTGTGACTTGGAAGACATCTGTGCAATTTCATGCACAGATGTCTATGCAACTCGTACCTGAACTTGCAAAAATTTGTGCATGAACTACTTTCTGAATCCATTGCGGACAATAGGGTGCGACATGTTGCAAGGATGTGACCAGGGACTTAATTTAAAATATAAAAATGTATTCAGTTATTCAATAAAACTTGACAAATATTTGAAATCTTTAAGCGGTATTAAATACAAATCCAAAAATTTAATTTTTACGCACTGCATCAGAATCGCACCCCGTTCATGCGAACCGCTCTGCGGGTGAGTATGTTAAGTTAACCATACCCCAAAAGCGGTCTGCAAAACGCAGTGCAATGTGCAGAATCGGATCGCATAGGTGTGAATACCCATGTGATCCGATTCTAGTGCGGCCCAAAAAAAAGGGTCCTGCACCTTTTTGGTGCGGGTGTGGTGCGATTAGAGCCATACAAAATGTATGTCTCCAATCACACCACACACAAATCTCATGTGATTTGCACAGGAATGTGGTGTGGCTCCTGTGCGAATCACATGCAATATACCACACCCAGGCTTAAGGCTCTTTTACGTCTGTTTTCACCTGGTGATCACGCCTCCTGAATTCTAGTGCCTACACTCTGGATGAAGAAACAACAGGGGCACCTTTGGACAGCAGCATTGCCAGTTTGAGAGTGCAGTTATAAAAGCAGTTACAGCAACAGTTTTTTTCTTTTGGGATAAAGGTTTTACATGAAGAAATAAAAGCTGATCGTTGTATGCACCCGTCAGTGGTAAATTTGTCTCAACACTGTAACTGCTTTATTTGCAGGACAGCTTGTTCTGTTGAAAAACAACAGACTTACTAGCCAGGTGAAAATAAAGGAAAGAAAGCCTAAAAAAGAAAACTAATTCAGCCATCCAGGGCTGCTGTTAGAAATAATGGGGCCCCATACAGCCTACCTGATGGAGCCCCCAAAACCCTGACCCTGCCTACCCACCTAACAAAAATGCAGCTTTGTATTTAAGGGATAGTTTTTTTTTTTCCCAGCCTGTTATAGGCAGGTCATACATGATGAAATTTTCATTCCTGCAACCACTGGTTGCCCCCTGGTACCCCCTTATCAGTGGCTCTGCGGCCATCACATCTCATTATTGGTAAGTTGTAATATAATACATATTTGCTTTTGAGTTTAATACCACTTTATAATTGTGCGCCATTGTACATTTTCAAATGTTTTCATCATTTTAACTAGGTACTAGTGTAGTTATATTCCCTGTGCTGTTTGTTTGCTCTACCTTGTGATGATGGGCTCAAATGTTGTAGCTGCAGGTTGTAGCGTTAATGGCTGATTGTTTCTGCTATGCTCATCTATTATTCAGATAGCATGTCCCAAGGGACAGGTAACTACTTGTTGTGGGTTACAAAGCAAACAGTACATTCCTTGCCATTCCTTCTGTGTTGCATCACAAATGTGGGAGAGCTAATGTGATGAAACACATCTATTTCCTTCATTGTTCTGCCTGCTTGCGTCTGTGTCATATCTAATTACTGTTTAGCTCTTACATGTGGGGTACTAGACTGAGAGACCCAGGGATTGTGAGATGTGTTGTTTATTCATAGGAAGTGTCAGTTCTTAAACTACAAACAGAGGTCATAGTTACATAGTTAGTCTGGCTGAAAAAAAGACAAAAGTCCATCCAGTTCAACCATTAAAAAAATACATTAACAAATACAGTGGTAAGCTGCATGCCTCATGTTTGAACAGGGTTTTTCAACTAGGATTCCTCCAGAGGTTGCTAGGTATTCCCCGAGCAATGAGCAACTTCTGCCTGTCAGATAGGTTCGCGCTCAGGGGCGGACTGACGACTCATGTGGCCCCCGGGCAATAGGGGATCATGGGGCCCCTGTCTCCTTGCTCAAAGTCAAAAAAGCCTATGAAAAAGGTACCAGGGGCATCTCATGGGGCCCCCTACTGACCGCAGTGCCCGAGTTTCCAAATGGTCAGTCCGCCCCTGTTCCCGCTGACACTATCGATCTTTTTAGCTACTGTATCTGTAAGGGAGTAATTCTTCCCAATGACCACAAGTGTAAGGAGCATTCTTCCCACTGACCATCACACTATGGCCCCTTTCACATGGGCGTTCCGTTTTTTTCATCAGTTCAGGCACATTTTTTCCAAGAAAAACAGATCAGTTTACATCAGTTTTTCATCAGTTTATGTCAGTTTACATCCATTTTTCATCAGTTTGCTCAGTTTTTTTCCTCCATTTACATCTGTTTGCATCCGTGTACATCTGTTTTTGGCCATTTACATCAGTTGTTGTCCGTTTACATCCATTTTGCATCCGTTCTGTTTTTTTTTTTTTTTTTAAACGGAATAAAAATAGGGTTTTCTTCCGTAAAAAAAAATGGATGTTAAAGCATTCGGACATTAACGAATGTTCATAGAAATACATGGGCGTCCGTTTTTCATCCACAAACAGACAGATGAAAAATGGCCATATGGATCGTCCGTGTGAAAGGGGCCTAATGTATAATGAGTTGTAGATATAGTAGCTTTTAGTAGGCGTTCCCTGAGACCAGAAAGCTATTTCAAGGGTTTCTCTCTGTTGAAAATGTTGAGAAAGGTTGCTTTAGAAACTTCATGTGTGAGCATGAACTGTATGTTTATGGTGGGGTGGGGACATTTTTTTAAAGTGTATTTCTTTTAATTTATCAATTTTTTTCTTCAATTGTCTACTGTCTATACATACCCCAATACTTCCTCTATGGCCTGAAGCAAAAGATTAAGAGCACAGAGTCCCTGACCTCCATCTAAGCTGCACTTTGGACTTCACAGACGCTGAACCCAGAAATGCTCATAACTGAGCACTTTAAGGTTCAATATAATTTCTAGTAGCAGGGGTGGTGGGGGGGCAGAGGCCCACTTTTTTATGAATGGCAGTTATTGGCAGTTGATCACACCCATTCATAAATAGTTCTTAACTTACAATACAGTCTATGGGGTTTGTTTAACAAAGAAGCCAAGGCTACTCACTTTGCAAAGGGGACCCAAATGTAACAGAGCACACTGATGGGGGCCCTGATAAAGGGGGCACTCTGATGAGGCCTCCTGATGTATAAAGGTAATTCTGATGAGGACCCTTGGTGTAAAGTTGGACTCTGATGAAGACTCGTGAGCACCGATTGAAATGGTGGACTCTTGGGGACTTTTGATGTAAAGGGGCCGGTGATAGGGACGCTAGGTATAAGGGGGCATATGTTCTGTTTATTCATCCTTATCTAATGACAGCCTTATATATGCACTTTTTGAGACAGCCACAAAAACAGGGAGCTAGCATTGCTGTTCACTTCTACACTGCCTCTGCACTGGAAGAAAATTGAAATGTGGAAGAGAATTCAGATTTTACTTCCAGGTAGTGAAACAATGCAGTGTTCAATGAAGAGGGAAAACTGGTTCCCTGCATTTCTGTCACACTGTGTGTACTATGTCCGCAATCTCCGGTCATCTCCTGTACTATGTCCGCAGTCTCTGGTCATCTCCTGTACTATGTCTGCAGTCTCCGGTCATCTCCTGTACTATGTCCGCATTCTCTGGTCATCTCCTGTACTATGTCCACAGTCTCCAGTCATCTCCTGTACTATGTCCGCAGTCTCTGGTCATCTCCTGTACTATGTCCGCAGTCTCTGGTCATCTCCTGTACTATGTCTGCACTCTCCAGTCATCTCCTGTACTATGTCCGCAGTCTCTGGTCATCTCCTGTACTATGTCCGCAGTCTCTGGTCATCTCCTATACTATGTCCGCAGTCTCTGGTCATCTTCTGTACTATGTCCGCAGTCTCTGGTCATCTCCTGTACTATGTCTGCAGTCTCTAGTCATCTCCCGTACTATGTCCGCAGTCTCTGGTCATCTCCTGTACTATGTTCGCAGTCTCTGGTCATTTCCTGTACTATGTCTGCAATCTCTGGTCATCTCCTATACTATGTCTGCAGTCTCTGGTCATCTCCTGTACTATGTCTGCAGTCCATTGGTTCAGAATATTTTTTTTTCTTGTTTTCCTCCTCTAAAATCTAGGTACATCTTATGGTCAGGTGCGTCTTATGGAGCAAAATATGCGGTAGGTCCGCTGATGCTAGTTGTCCTGTGCAGTCTTCTTCATCGTCCCTGCTGCTCCGGTGGTTTCCAGGGCTCGGGGGATGGCAGAGAGGGGCAGAGAGGCTCTGGATGATGGCATCACTCGAGAACGCAACTCCAAATATGGCACGCATTCGGAGCATACACATTAATAGTGCGACCGACATAGAGGAATCCACAAGGACAGGACAGACAATAAATCATGAACTCTGAAGAGCAGTTGTTAAAACTTTCTATATTACAGGTTTTACGTTTGGTAGAGAATTGTTTTTGTCTTTGTAGGACATGTTTGCATGTTAGGCATTTGGGTTTTTTACACTGGTACATGCCTGTAATGGACAAGAAGGTGGGCATGGGGTTTGTGGATGTTTTTAAAGTTTTTAATGTGCTAAGGGATTTTGCTTTTCATGTTGCGGGCCCTTCTATATGAAAACTTAGGCATGTTAGGGATGGATGACTTCAAGTGGGGATTCTCCATTAAGATTCCCCAGTATTTAGGTAAAACTTGTTCCATTTTACTGTGGTGGATGTGGAATTGTGTAGTGAATTGTAATGGTTGGGAGCTGGGTTGATTAGTATTGGAAAGAATGTCGGTGGTTTTGGAAGTTGTTAAGTAAAAGGAAAAGGCATCTTGGACTAACGATTTGGCATAGCCTTTTTCCAAAAATGTTTGTGTAAGCAGTTCACCTTGTGAGGCGTAGTTCTCATCACGTGTACAATTGTGCCTGAGCCTGCAAAATTGGCTTTTGGGGATGTTGGATATCCATCTAGGATGGTGGCAGCTTTGGAAATGTAGAAAAGAATTGCCCGCCGTGGGCTTGGTATAGTTTATGGCATATATGGATGTGTCAGTATGACAAAGTTCTAGATCTAAGGCTACGGTGTTGGGGTAAAAAATAGGCCTACGGAATTGGAGTTACAATAGGTCACGAAGGAGTCAACTTCTGTTCGTGTGCCGTCCCAGATGATAACAATGTCATCTATGTAACAACCAAAGTATATTACATTTTTGGCATAAGGGTTATTGTTCCAGATGGACTGATGTTCCCAGAGGCCCATAGTGAAATTGGCATAACTTGGTGAAAAATTGGCTCTCATCGCAGTGCCTTGTATCTGTAAGTAATAATTACCATCAAACAAAAAGTAGTTGTGGGATAAACAAAAATGTGTTGCATCTAAGATGAAAATCTGGCCTTGCTCTGAGGCCAGGTTTCATTCAATGTCTAATGGCTGACAGCACACATTCTCTTTCTCTGTCTCTTCTGCCACAAAAAATAAAGTGAAAAGGAGTTGTGATTTCTGTGCCCATCAGGATGTCTGATGTCACACATGTCAATCATTTGCAGCTGTGTGAGACATGACATCCAAACCACTGAAGCTCTGGCAAGTGCTATACCACCAGGGCAGAGGCAGGTGAGCCGGGCATTGTGTGTAAAAAAAAAATACATCCAAGGACAATGATTGATTTTTTGCTGACCTACCACTACACCACCAGGGCTGAGGCACAGAAAATAAGTGTAGTGAAATAAATAGGTTAAAAATAATTAAATGTAATATTTAATTTGTAAATAAATATATAAATGCATGCTCCGCTGGGCTACCACTAAATCACCAGGGAAATGTATTTTTAGTTACTGTCCTTCATAATTATTTAATAATTAATTAGTCCAAAAAAACTGGCAGAAGACACTAAAAATAGGTATCGGTAATTGGTACTGATAATTGGCGAAAAAACATATGGTGGTACTCATACTCAGTCTTAAAGTGGTTGTAAAGGCTCAAGGTTTTTTACCCTCATCCATTCTATGCATGAAGGTTAAAAACCGCTTGTGTGCAGTAGCTTCCCCAGCCCCCTCAATACCTACCTGAGCCCCATCAAGATGTGCATCAGGTGTTCCAGGTCTCTGCCTCCTCAGTAGCTGAGATAGCAAGCGGGAGCAATTGGCATCTGCTGCTGCCAATCACAGCCAGTCAGCAAATGAGGAGAGAAAGAGGGCAGGGTCAAGCTGCGACTCTGTGTGTGAATGAACACACAGAGCAGCAGGTGCCCCCATAGCAGTTGCTTGCTATGGGGGCACCCTACAGAAAGGAGATACACGGAGAGCCTGCGGGGGACCTGAGAAGAGGAGGATCCGGGCTGCTCTGTGCAAAACCAATGCACACAGCATGTAAGTATAGACATGTTTGTTATTTTACAAAAAAAGAACCTCTAGTATCGCTCTAAAATACTGGTATCTGTGGATCCCTAATATATGCAGTACGTGAACAAAAAAAAAACTAACTTCAATCACATTTTTCATACATTATCAAGTGCAAGCAAAGCTTATTCTATGCAGCTTTGATAAAGGAAGTTTACAGAACTAAGGTAGAATATATATGTCAGCACTTGTATTTCACTGATGATGACACATTACAGCCTGTTAAAATGGGCTTATGGCAATTTACCAGCAGCTCTAAGTTTTCCTGTTCCCTTACATGGAAAAAGAATGGTCTTCATTTCTTTCTAATCATAAAAATACAGAACACAGGCTTCCATAATTTCTAACAAAGAGGGTGTATCACAGGGTTTATTCACATCTAGTCTGAACCGCACAACTATGCCAGATTTTACTTGCTATTTTTTGAGGTTTTTGTTATTAATCCAAATTCTAAGGACCACTGGAAATATACTCTCAGGAGTTTATAGCTGTTTTATTACGTTTATTAAAGCATTCCATGTTTGGCTTGCTTGTGTCAGCACACTGCCATTTATCTAGCACAGGCTCACGCTGTCCCTTGCCCATTCTTGTAAGAAGCGATACAGCGAGAGATATAAAGAAAAAAAAACACCTTATCTGATTTTATGTCTGAAAACATAAGTAATTTCTCTCTGTAAACTGGGCCACAAATCACAAACAATCTACAGATCAGTTATTGCTGACATTCTTGAAAGTAATATTCTTATACAATTTAACCAGTTGCCATCCACCCTATATCAGTTTTACTGCTACAGGGCGGACGTATATATACATGATCCGTGCTTCCACTGTGATCACGTGTAAGATGTGTGCACACACTGACCCAACGGTGCTGTGATTCGGTGCAGCACCAGTCATTCAGCAGATTGAGGCCAGTGATGTTAGCCCTGGATCTGCTGATTAATCCCTGCCCTATCACAGATCCTCCTCTGCCTGTGTTTACATTACACAGGCGCAGGAAATAATGCAACTTTCTCTCCCTGGAGCACATTCCATTCCAGAAAGAGAAGAAAGCAGGTCCACGTGAGTCAAAAGCTCTACACATTACAGTAAAAGCACTGATAGTTAACATTTAACCCCCTGATTGCCCCCTAGTTAACCCCTTCACTGCCCTGTCACCAGTGTCATTAGTACAGTGTACAGATTTTTTTACTGATCACTGTATAAGTGTCACTGGTGATTTCAGCTAGTGTTAGCATCAGTTAGCGTCACTCCCAGATAGTGTCAGATTGCCCGCCACTACATCAGTCATCACAGTTAATCCTTTGATTGCCAGGAACAAGCTCTCATACACAATAAACCTCCATTGCTAGTATAGTACCTGAACAGATCAATACCTTTGATCAGATCAGCACTATACCAGTGTTCGCAATAGTATAGTGTCCTCAAAAATGCTTGCAAGATCAGCCCTGGAACCTGTCAGTACCTACGTTTAGCCACTATGCTTAACCCCCCCCTTTCTCCCCCAGCAAGTGCAGTATCAGTAGATCACTGTCATTTGATACATTGCACACATAACTGCAGGGTTAGCAAGATCAAGTCTGATCTCTGATCTTTCACTAGCAGGTAAATCTTTTTGTAGCAGTTCATGTAGTCCCTGACAGACTCTTTTTCCTGTGAGTCACACTAGGTACTAATAAATTTAGTACCCAAAAATGTCCCAAGAAAGGTACTCTAATGAACAGACCTACAGGATGAGAGCGAAGGGGAAGTCTCACTGACAGAATCAGGCTCAGAATACAAACTTGTAGACAGCAGAGGCACCCTGACAGATAGCTCAGACAATGGAGTAGAGGTCCCTGCTAAGGTCAGGAGTACCCGACCCCCCCCCCCCCCCCACACACACACACAAATACCCCTTTTTAGAAAGTAGACACCCCAAGGAATTTGATAAGAAGCATGGTGGGTATTTTGCAGATCTTGTTTGTTGCCACAAGTTTTTGGTAAATGAAGAAAGAAAACAAAGGCATATTTTTTTCTTTTCTTTTTTTATATTTCAAAACCTGAGAATAAAAGAGATCTGCAAAATACTCACCATGCCTCTTATTAAATTCCTTGGGGTGTCTACTTTCCAAAAAGGGGTCATTTGGGGGGTTTGATGCTATCCTGGCATTTCAGGGCCTCTGAACTGTGATAGGTAGCGAGGAAGTGAAATGAGGAAGTTACACACCTTCAGGTTTTTAAAGTGGTCATTGGATTTTGGACTCCTGTATGTGGCTAGGCTCCCAAAAAGTCTCACACATGTGGTATCCCCATACTCAGCAGAATGTATTTTGGGGTGTAATTCTACATATACTCATTGCATGTGTGAGCAATATATCATTTAAATGACAAGTTTGTGTGTTACAAAAAAAGGGGTAATTTGGGGGTGTTTGTACTGCCCTGGCATTTTAGCACCTCAGGAAAAATGATAGGCAGTCAGAAAGTGAAATCTGTGTAAATTCCAGTATCCATTGTAGATGCTGTGACTTTCACAAAAAACAATTAATATACAGTTATTGGGATTTTTTTTACCAAAGACGTAGCAAAATACATTTTGGCCTAAATTTATGCCAAACTTTTTTATGATAGAAATGATAAAATATTTTTTTTTTTTTCAAAAGTTTTTTGTTTATGGTGCAAAAAATTTAAAACCCAGAGGTGATCAAATAGCACCAAAACACTGCTCTATTTGTGTGAAAAAAGGACATAAATTTCATGTATATACGGAATTGCATGACCGCGCATTTGTCAGTTAAGCTAGAACAGCGCCATATAGAAAAAAATGTCGTACATTCCAATATCTATACCATAGTATGTAGACGCTATAACTTTCACATAAACCTAT